TAGGACTGTATGTCCGTCATGCTGTTTGCACTGTTTACTCAGTATGCAGTGCACACATGCACTTTATGTAGCCATGTGTTGTCTGTGTAAAGTGTTTACAGTTCTTATTTTAATCATAATTATGTACAGTTTAATTTTTTTTGTAGTCCAATGTTCTGTGTTTTGTCTTATGTAGCACCTTGGGCCTGGAGAAAGGCTGTTTTGTTTAACTGTATACTAACTGTATAGAGCTGAAATGACAATAAAGCTACTCTGACTTTCTGACTCTGAACTCCCTCTCTCTCTCTCTCTCTCTCTCTCTCTCTCTCTCTCTCTCTCTCAGTCCCCCTCCCCCAGTCCTCGTTCACTCTCATCCCCTCCCCCTCCAGCTGTGGCGCCTGGCCTCAAGATTGGCCCTGACAGACGGCTTCCCCTGCTCTCCTCCTCTCTCATCCTTCCTCTTTAAATAAGCATTGCCTGGAACTCTGATGAACTGGGACCTTTTAAGGTGGAATTTTAGGATATAATTATTTAATTATGATTTCTTGGACAAAGAAATTAGTAATACATATTATGAATTACTTCTCATAACTACAGTTAAAATTATAATAATAATAATAATAAAAATAATAAAATAGGGATAATTATTGATCATTTTAATTATTATACTACCTTCTATTTATTTGTATTGATTCTTTGACTAAATACACCGAACACGCTACTTTCATATTCATTTTTAAAGGGTGGGTAATAAATATGCCATGCAATATGTGAAGTGCATTCGCTGTGCATAGTCTGTACAGACAATAGAAACCTTGAAGCTCAGCTGTGCAGGCAGAGATAATAAAATGACATGAATCTACTTTTCTGCTTTTCCAGATAAACATTCATAAGACTAAACGACAAATAGTAAGAATACAAAAAGTTATCTGCACAAAACATCAATTAACATGTCATGTGATATATTATAAACGAAATATAAAAAAAATCGTCTATTTTAGTTATTATTATTTGTTTACAAGACAAATAGGGATGGCCCCAATTTCAAATTATATTAATATGCACTTTCTAAACATCAGATTATTTCCGCTCACCTGCGCGCGCGCTCTCTCTCTCTATCCCATGCATCAGTCAGGCCATGCGTAATTACATTAATCTATTTCTCACGCACAATGCTTTTTCCTACATCTACACGATTTTATCCTACTTCCAATGACAGAAAAGCCCGCAAAACGTCCAGAAAGCAGCCTGAGAGAGAGAGAGAGAGAGCGCCATTAAAAATAGAGCGTCAAAAATAGAGCACCGTTCCACATGCGCGTGTTCATGTTTACGAGCAGCGTTGCATTGCGCGAGCTCTTCCTTCCTTATCTCCTAATCTCAATGGCACGTAAAGACATTTTAAATGTATGAACACTCACCGAGTTCCCAGCGCTGGAGCGGAATCGTTATCAGCAATGTCAAGAATAGCGTATCAAACTCGCTTCCGTGCCTCTGTCGCTTCACAGACCGGCCGCTTCTGAAAGCCCCGCCAGCCCTGAGAGCCACGACGCGCTCGCGATACCACCGCGCGCTCCGCAGCCGCTACTTCGTCCCCTTTCTGTCGTCATGGCAACTAGGCGCCTAACATCCTCCCTTTGCCATAGTCATAAACTGATGCAGAGCCTGCGGAATAATTTACACTACAGCAGCGTTTAGAGCAGCCAAGACTCCCAAAACGCTATGAGTAGTAGCCTATTTTTCAAATCAGCTAGAACAAATCGCTATCCTAGTTGTATAGTGAGACTTTAAAAATCCTCAGAAAAAAAGACGCATAAAATATGCATGCGTTTTCTCATGTGGGCATGAAACCGATTTCGAGTTCTTTCTCTGTGTTTAAATAATGTAAACAAATACGGCAGACAACTACACCGCTAAATAAACAAACAAACAAACCGGTATACACTACATTTATATAAGGTAAAAAAAAACATATTTTAAAAGAAAACAAATGTAATTGTATACTGTAAAATATTGTAAAACGAAACAGAAGTATGAATTATACCTTATAATTATTGACATATTTAACAAGACAATATTTTTACAACAAGCAGATTTGTTTCAAACAGGGTGTTGTTATATAATTTAATGACACTTGGCGGGTAGTAATTAACAACTAATAATGTAAAATATTTCATTTTTAAGGGCATATAAATAAATAAATGCCTGTCCCCAGCTCTTGAAAACACTAATTTGGGTACATTTTATACAAAAGACTTCTCCTTATTTAAACACCCTAGCTTGCGTGTAATCACATTGTCTGAAACAATTTTTATAGAAGCTTGGAGAACAATATTTTAACAGATGTGCATAACATTAAGAATATCTCTGAATAATTGGGGTATTATCGAGCTATATATTATACGCTGCCCCTTTTTTTATAAAAATTCAGGCGCTTTATTGTGAATCATAGAAAGCCCACCACCACTTTATATTTTAGTAAGTAGAATACTATTAAATCAATCACAAAGTGTTTCATGTGCACTGACACACCTATGTCATATAGATTTAAATAACAGAAACACTGTGGTTTTAATGCCACAAAAAGCACAATAAAATCTAAGAAATCAACCAAATGAAAGATCACATGTCCAAAAACTCAAACAGGCCACATTAAATAGAAAGGCAAACCAGAAGAAATATTGAACTCATCTATTATCAACAACACAAACACTGAACCATCAGCACATATCAGCACTGCCTAAATGCTTCTGAGCACTAAGCCATAAGGCACATTAGTTTCATCAGTTTTCACTTTGCTATAACAATAACTCATCAGTAGTGGTGCTAGTCACTTGTCATATGATCACTGAGAAGGTAGCTTCACTGACCATGGAGTGCATATACTACATGCATTCAACCAGGCAAACTAAAGAACTAGATGATTTCAAAAGGTGCATTTGGGTAAGGCCCCCCATTCTTGGCCTTATCGTTGAACTAGAGGATAATCTCAACACTGCTCTGAAAGCCTGAGTCCTAGCACTGTACAGAGTGAAAGAAGCTTCCTCCTTCCCTTCCGACCCCTCTCAGAAGAACGCTGGGAATGTGTAGCACTCCCTGAGTC